GTAATATTTGGGGTCACAAGTTTTTGCCATGGATATTTTGTGGGTCAGAAGATAAAAAGTTTGGGAACCACTGTTCTAGAGAATCCTGCAATCACTTATAGTATGAAATTTGGTGAATAGGTTTTTTTTTCTTTTGTATTCTACATATTTCATTGATGTATTTACTAACTTTACTTCCAGTATCTGTTGTGTTTAAATTTGTGTTTTATGTTGTTAATAAGTTCCAGCTAAGTTTTCCTGAAATGTTTAATATGCATCAGTGTGTGTGTCTACAAAATATTCCAATGAAGTGAAGATAAGTTTGTGCTCAACAATCAGTTCACAATAAAAGTAACCTCAGGGCACTTTTCAAGTTTAAATCATAAATCAAGTTTAGATCCAGATTCAAATCCAATCAGTTTAAGTTTGAAAGCTGCCCTTTGTGCCTTCTTACAAATATCTTAGTATTTTTATTGATGAAAATCTCCTTTTTAAGTCCCACATTGAACAACTTAAAAAATTACATTCAAACTGATGCTTTATTTTACAAAAATAAACTTTTTTATTTAAAGTGATAAAAGTTGATGCTGCCACCTGTTAAGCTCTTTTTGACTATGTTAATACATCATGTTTTAACCTCTTAAAATCTAATCTCTCAAAGATGCGCAAAATGACTTTCTTCACTTACAGAAATCTGCCTCACATTTGTTAAAGTGTGAATTTTCCAGTGCAGAACGACTTCACTGTCAGTCTAAAGTTGCATAAGCAAAGTTTCTTTGTGCTGATTCTGGTACTGAAATGATTAAAATGTGTATTTATATTTATTGCTGACTGAGTCTGTTAAAAAACAGGGTTCACACAGGCAGCTCAACTACATCATCAGTGTTATTAGACCCATTTATACTGAGGCATGAGTCCCAGTATAAATATAAAGTGCTCCAGCATAAATGTAAAGTGTATTAGTCATATTTCAGAAACTTGTATGTAAATTTAAAAAGCAACAAATTATAATGCCAGCATAAAGATGTACAGTATTCTGTGAGGATATCACAGGTTTTTATTTAAATGTGTTTGGGATGGAGACCCAGCATGGTCTTGAAAGGAATAGTAAAATAGTGACATAGAGTACTTACAGTGGTACATACAGGGTACTTAAAGAAATACGTACATGTAATGACAGAATACTGAAAGGGTACTTGCATGGGTACATGATACAAAGTAATCGCAAAGTAATTAGTTGTATTTAAAGGGAACTTATAGGGTGCATAAAGGGCAATTATAGCACATTTAGAAGGTATCTGTGGGGATATTTACAGTGTAATTACAAATACATATGAGGTACATACAGGGTAATGATGTCGTACGTATGGAGGTACTTGCAGGGTGTAATTAACTGTTGGAAAAACTGTCAACAATTAATATTTGCCTCTTTGTAATCATTGGTATTATTGCCACGTGATGTATTTTGTATGACTATCAAGCTTGTGCGTGAGCTTGTGGCATTTTGTGTTACTAAAGATCTGCTGCCACTTCACATTGTGGAAAAGGTGGGTTTCTATTCACAGCTGACTATTTTAATCTGTTAAAATTAAGTAGTTAGTTTGACTGATTTATAATTTTAGAGTCAAAAACATGCAAGTGCAATTGTCATCTGAGGTTCACACCAAGAAAAGGCCTGAAAATGTACTCTACCAATTGTTTGATCAGAACACTACCAGCTAAATGCCACAATTTAAGGGGGAGCAGAGCAACTGTGGTTACCGCTCTGTTCATGAAGTGACTTGTTACTCTGTGCTGTACCCGGGTACAGCTTTAAGTCTAGGAATATCCCTGATCTGTGTCATCCTGCTGAAGAAATGTTACAGCCTTATTTCAAACATTGGGGCTGGAAAACTGCTGAAAGTACCATTTCTGGTAAATTTAAAGTAGTACTCAAGTTTGTTGTTGTTTGTCAAAATAACTATACTTATCTCAAAAAGTAAGGAAATTTATGTTTGGTAGATTATTTCTTTGTTGTAACAATGTTTCCCTGCAATAAACCTAATGCATATATGGGGGGAAAAAGGTAGTTTGGCAGAAAATATTTGGCAAAATTTTCATGAGTGCAACTCGCATACTCAGCTCAAATACAAGTCTCTGACATAAGCTCACAACCAAAGACCACAAATTATACAATTTTTGGAAGCCACACATTGCATCACAGAAATAGCACATAGGATTTATATCACATTGGGGTGTTTTAAATAAAAAAGTGAGCTTTTGTCTGTACACCATTCCTTACAAATGTGACACCATTTAAAATGGAAATTAACAGGCTTTCTATCGGTATAAGATTTATTGCCAATAAGTATTGTTACAACAAAGAAATAATCTACCAGACGCACAATTCCTTACTTTTTGTGCTAAGTTTGTACAGAATCACTGGTTTGAAGCAGGTTAAATGATTTTTAAGTCAGCTGTGAAAACCTGAACCTGTTAAGTGTTTCGCTTTTTTTATTCAGTATTTTTATTTAATTGCAGTTTGACCTGGATTGTCTGCAAGTACAATCCCGTATGTTTCCTTGAAAGAAATCTCTGAGAATGACCCCTCGATTATTTTACCTGTATAAATAAAGGTGATGTGTGCCTAATGTCCCCCCTTCTTTGCTGTATACTGCGCGCGACTAGACTCCCGTCTCTGAGTCTATAGCAGCACGTGTATAGAGCTAAAGCTCGGTTTAATGAGCCTCGCGCCGCTAAAAACGAGCTCCTCGGTCAGATAAACCTGCGCAGATTTTAGATTTAAACGCGACTGCCTTCTACAGAAATGTGCGAGTAAAATAGAATCGCTGGCTTCCGGGCATGCGCAGTGCTCTCTGACCCCTCCCCCCGCTCATTTAGTTAAACCTGCACTGTTTCTTCTCAGTCTATTCAGGAAAATAAGAACCCCGATTCTTCTCCATTTTGTCGCCCTGAATGCAGCGTTTTAAAACATTTCCCCCCCTCTCCTCTCTCTGGAAAGCACGGCCCCCCAGCTGCTGTCATTTTATTTAAGGCAGAGACATTGTGGCTGTTGCTGTGCCTGGTTTGGGGTTTAGAGAGACCGAGCTGTAAGTAGGTCGGGCTGGACTTAAGCGGCTTAGCTACGTCAGCCTAAAGCTGAGAGGAATTCATCCAAAGCCGTCCGCGGTAGGCGGGGGCCTAAACGAGGCTGGCCTAGTTAAGCCTGATTCTTATTGTGTGCAGCACAGCCAGTTTTTCTGTTGTGCATCGTAGCTGTGAGAGAAACCAGAGTGTGAGTCCATGCACTTGTTAGTTCATAGTTTATGACTGAGCTGAAGAAGAAGAATTAAGGGTAAATTAGAACTTTGTTTGAGTGGGGCCTTTGTGTCTCATAGATTAAAAGAAGAGCAGAAGGGATAAAAAAGAAGAAAAAAAAGACAGTTGAGCAAAGTGAGGAGCCACTCCTGAGAGAGGGTCCAGAAGGGGTGACAGCTTGAGGCCTGATTGGGACTTTGAGGGTCTACTGTGCTGTAAAGATGGCATCCAGCTCTGTGTTCCTGTCCAGCATGGTGGGCAAAGCTCGCTCCTCCAACTTCACCCTCTCCGAGAAGCTAGACCTGTTGAAGCTCGTCCGCCCTCACATCCGCATCCTGGAGGAGCACACCAACAAGCACGCTGTCATCGTGGACAAGAACAAGTGCTGGGACACGGTGGCCGAGCAGTACAATGCCTTGGGAGGGGACAGGCCCCACCGGACCGCTCAGGGCCTCAGGACCCTCTATAAGAGGCTGAAGGAGTCAGCCAAGCAGGAAGTGATGCAGAGGAGACACGCCCAGCCAGAGTACAGAGGGAGCATCTCGGAGCCTACCAGGAGGATTATGGAGATGATCCCTCACCTGTTCCACCACGTGCCCAACCACGACAAGGACCAGGCACTGCGCAGGTACACTGTTCCTTACAGACACGTTTCTGTGCACACCGGAGACACACAAGCTCATTCATTAAATACTTACTTTTAGCATCACCAATTAGAAAAAAAACACATTATATTTTGCTTCTGAATTTAGTTTTTAGATTGATAGTACTAATTCAGTTTTACGTGAATCTCTGTTTTTTGTTTTTGTAAAAATTCAACATTTATTTGGGAGAGTGTGTGCAGAAAACAGTCTGAGCCATGTGAGACCTGTCAGACGTGGAGAAATGTGAATACAAAAAACAAACATCAAGTTATCTGTGAATATTTGGTGTTTTTTTTTTAATTTCACAATAATAAATCCCACTATGTCTTAATCTTTAGATTGATTTCTTTAATGTGCATTATCAGTTCTAATTAATCTGTGTAAAGAAATGCTTTATATATATATATTACTGCTTAAGTTTTCTTATTTTTTTATTTTTTCCATATTTAGGTTGATATATAACAAACACAGCTCTCCTATTGAGAACCCGGGAAGCAGCTCCTCTCTGGCTGTACTTCAGGATTACTCAGCAGGTGTCCCAAGTATCGCTCACGAGGTGGTCCAGCTGGACCCCAAAGACGATGTGAAACCACCACCAGATCTCCCCATTGTTCCCGCCCACACAGAGCAGGTGCTGGATGGGCTCCAGGAGGAACAAGAGGAGGAGCAGGACCTGGGTAGTACCCACGAATATGAAGCCTCCTTGTCTCCCGCTCCTTCCTCCATTAACATCCCCCTCTCTGCCTCGCCGCTGCCGCTGCGCCACGACTTTTATCCGAACGACTTCTACTCCCATCACGATCCAGACAGGCTGCGTCCTCTGCATCTGCTTAAAGAGGAGCACGAGCTGGTGCTAGCCAATCACAGGAAGGTCGCCCTGTACTTGGAGGAGAAGAGGGAGGGTCTGAAGAGGAAGCAGGAGCTGGAGGAGGAACTTCTGAGAACAAAGATCAAAGTGGAGAAGTTAAAAGCTGCCCGGCTCAGACATGGGCTGTCGGTTCCTCTATAATAAAAAGACACACAAACCGTACAGTATGTCACCACTGTTTAAAAAAATGTTTGAGGATTTTAATTATATTTTAAAGAAGCTTTAGACTCCTTATGTTTTAAGAGCAGATTTCAAACATAGTGCCTCATACATGAATATGCTGTTTTGTTATGATGGAGCATTTGCTGCATTCATATTTAGACATGTTGGAACATATTGGCCAGATCGTATTAGTTTAAAAACACCCATTTGATATCTGAATTAAGATGTAATAAATGTAACAAGCTAAATCGTTTGGACTTGAACACCAACACTCTCAAAGTAAATGTAAAGAAAGCTGTCTCTAAAAATTCTCTGTTACACTAGGATTGTAGCAGAACTATCCTAAGCCTTAATGTGTCGCTAACATCTGTTAAAGGAGACATATCCTGCAAAAATCCACTTTTTATCCATGCAATTTGTTGTGTACTTTGGAGTTTTTAGTAGTGCAGAAAAGTCCAATTTAGTTTCTCCCGGTGCTGCGTAGATATATTTATCTTGTGTTTGAGATGTAAATTTTTTCAACACGTTAAATTCACTTTGTAGTTTTCTGAACTATTCTGTCACAGAATTTTTAATGGAATTTCTAAATAAGGTCTGGACTTACAAACTACATATTGATGATCCTCATTCTCCTCTGGCTCTGGGTCAGACTCTGGCTCCAACATTTAAAGTTGGATGGACAAGTCTTCCATTGTTCACATTTTAATTTGTAAATAAACGTTCTGCGCCACTATATAGGTGTAAACTATCAAACTAGAATGGACTACATTTCAGTTTCACTTTATATAGACCCCACTGAATGATTCAAATTTGGAAAAAGGATTTGAAAGCATATGTCTCCTTTTAAGATGAGTAAAATGTGAAAGTCAGAAAATTTCTCTGTTTGCTTGAACAAAAAAAGGGAAAATGGTTATTGATTTGAATTTTTTTCTATTATTAATGCTGTTTAATGTGAGCTTGTCACGAATGTGTTGTAATGTTTTTGTATACAACTCCTGTTAGTGTGTTTCATTCGTCTTCATGTTTATCTATTTATTATTAAAAGAATGGATTTTGATAACAAATTCGTCCTGTTGTTTTCATTGCTTCTTGTTAAAGGAGGGATGTTATGGATGAAATCATTGTTGAAGTTTGCTGTCTTCTCCAAATGTTTGGATTCATGTTCGCTTCTCTCACAGCGAAGACTTGATGCAGCAGTGCCCTCTGCTGGTGGCTTTTTTAACCAGCAGATTATTTTGTTTGGATTTTTCACTGTTTTCATTTGATCTGATGTCCTTGTCAGGAGAAAATAAAAGTCCTCAGTGGGATCCTGAATCTCCTCGAACCCCTCAGCCCTCTGCCGGGTCAGAAGGAGTCTCTGGAGGCGCACAGGATGGAGTGTGTTACTTCAGTGTGGTATGGTGTAAGGCCAGTAAGAAGAAACACAAGCGCTGGGAGGGGGATGCAGTGCTGGTCACAAGAGGACGCTCAGTTGTACTTAAAGACATGGAAGGGAAGGATATTGGAAAGGGTGAGGCCTAAACAACCCAATCTTTAGTGTTCAAAAGCTTGTGGCAGCTTTATGTGACAGAGAAATAGTTTGAATTAGATGGATAAAAAATGTACTGCAAAGTTAAACACATCTGTGTAACAGAAATGCTGTATCTGCACAGTATACGTCTGAAATTGGTACAAAAATAATTTTAACTCGTGTTTTTATTCATATAAAATCTGCATTTACACTAACAGGTTTGTGTTGCAGGCAGTGGCTACAAAGTGTCAGAGCTGGCCTCACTATCTGAAGGAGAAACTCTGATGATCGGAGGGAAAGAGGTGGAGGTGATGGGAATCATTTCTGCTGAGGACTTTGCCAAAGGTCGATGTTTCCAGGAGGTCCAAACAGATTCAGTAGAGTCCAACACGAAGCCTGCTCCGCCTCCCTCACATCGCTCGGCTTCCAAACCTTTCTGCCCACCTACGATGGTGGGCGGAGCAGGGCGTCCAGACACTAAAGCAGAAAAAGAGCAAGTGTACAGTCCTCTTCACAACCCACTAGCTCCAGGTTTGTAATCCCAACCAGGATGCTTTTTGAGATGATCCATTTTTCTTCTGTACGTTTTACTTAACTCTTTCCACAATTTTTGTGCTATTTCAACAATTCATATTTCAAAACGTTCAGCTCACTTATGCTATGTGTGCTATGACTGTTGGTATTTCAGCAACTTATACTTTTTCAGCTATTTAGCTTTATTGGCCACTTTTTCTTATAAAAAATTAATGGAGATGTTGTCAATGTTCTTAAAACCCTTCAAAATGTTTATAAATCTTTACTGCACTTTTTTGCTTCTTTGTACTAATTTCAGCCTTCTTCATCTTCCTTTTTTTTGCTAATTTTATATTTTTTTGGCTATCTTTTTTTTTTACCAGTTTCAACCTTTTTATTCTTCTTTCTGCTTTTTATGTTATCTGAAACTGTTTATTATGTTTTATGCTACCTTTTAGCTGATTTAAAACATTTCACTATTTTCTACTAACTTCAACTTTTGTGATGATTTCAGCTTCTTCCAGCTTAAAACAAACATGCTATTTTGGCTTCTTTGTGCAAATATCAGCCTTCTTTAGCCTTTGTTTCTTTTTGGTTAATTTTGGCTTTTCTTTCTGCCATTTCAGCTGCTTTAAGCTAATTTTATCTTCTACCAATTTCAACTTTTTGTGCTAATTTCAACTTACTGTTTAAGGAGTAGCAAACATGCTCCTTGTTTTGTTGTGCTAATTTTAGCATTTTTAGCTATAGCTTGTTTTAGCTTTTTCAGTTCAATTCAGTTTATTTATATTGCACCAAGTCACAACAAATGTTGTCTCAGTTCTCTGTACAAAAGACAGCAATCAGTCTAAGGAAGCCAGCAGATTGTGCTGAATCATTCCCATCACAGTTTCTCATCCTGAGCAGCACATTGGTTACTCTCTTTTTACATTAAGAAACCTTCAGGCTCAGGACGGGTTTGGGGGGACAAGAAAGCTTTTAAAGCTATTTTTTTCATAAATTGCAACTTTTTTGTACTTAAATTTTCCTGCTAATGGGAGCCTTTTTCTTACTGTCCTTTTCATCATCTGTCTGCTAAATCCATGTCGTTCCTATTTTTTAGCTGCATTTCTGTTATGTTCAGCTTTTTCAATACATTTTGCCTTTTTTTTTTTTTACTGATTTTTCACTTATTTTCTTGTTGTCCTACTTTCAGAAGCAAAAGTCAGCTGTTCAAATTGAACTCACATCAACAGTTTTGCTTTTAAACATTTTCACAGGAAATGCAAAGTCTAGTTACTTCTTAGAGTTGTTTTTTCTTCTGTTAAACTGGTACATTTTTTTAGGTGCACTAGTGATGCCTCGCCCCTCTTCCAATCACCAGTGGCTTCATAATAAATCAGGGCTCCCTGTGGTTGATGTTGTGGTTGATCCACACCTGTCCACACACCTACGACCTCACCAAAGAGAAGGCATCCTCTTCCTCTACGAGTGTGTCATGGGCATGAGGTAAAAGCGCTTTTCCTCTAGCATCTGTTGTCAAACTCTGTGTAAAAATCCTAAACTATGTAAAATGTACCGCCACCTTTAATTTGAGCCCTAAAATTAACGTTGATGTGTTTGTCCTTCAGAGCTGTGGGACGCTGCGGTGCAATCCTGGCTGATGAGATGGGTCTGGGAAAGACTCTCCAGAGCGTGGCATTGTCCTGGATGTTGCTCAAACAGGGGCCTTACGGCGGGAAGCCAGTGACAAAACGCATCCTCGTGGTTACACCTGGCAGCCTCGTGCAGAACTGGAAAGCTGAGTTCACCAAGTGGCTGGGACGTGAGAGGATCAACATTTTTACCGTGGATCAGGTTTGGAGAAAAGACGACATTCATTTATCTTGTACATAAAAAGAAACAATCATAAACCTAAAAAAACAGCTTTTCACAAAATATGACACAATGTAATAATTTGTGCTTCAAATTGTTTGCAACGGGTTTAAATGGTGACAACTTTTTTTTTTACTTGTGTTGAACATGCTTTGTGTGTTTGATCAGGATCACAGAATAGAGCAGTTTGTGTTGTCTCCTCTACACAATGTGCTCGTGATCAGCTATGAGATGCTGCTGCGCTGCCTGGAGCAGGTATGGTGTGCTCACCTCTCGTGTTGCAGAAGCTGAGAGTGTCACAAACCAAACATTTTATTTGACTTTCAGATACAGAAAGTGGAGTTTGGTCTCATAATTTGCGACGAGGGTCACAGATTGAAGAACAGCAGTATTAAAACTTCTTCTGCTCTCAGCAGCCTCAGCTGTAGCCGCAGAGTCATTCTCTCAGGTGCATACCTGTCTGTGGCAGAACAAAACAAACCTTTTCAGGTCTTTCTGAAGAAAACAAATAATGATTAGTCTTGTTTATTATTTTAAGGGACGCCAGTGCAAAACGACCTGCAGGAGTTCTACGCTATTATAGAGTTTGTTAACCCAGGGATTCTCGGCTCCTCGACTGCTTATAGAAAAGTGTACGAGGAACCAATTCTGCGCTCCAGGCAGCCATCCTGCACAGAGGTAATGCTTTATAGTCATTTATTTTTCTTCCCTTCTATCACAGAAACAGTTTTGTATCTCATATCTCCTACTTAAAGGAGGAGAGAGTTTTGGGAGAAGAGAGAGCGGCAGAACTCTCCCGTCTCACCGGCATGTTCATCCTGAGGCGGACGCAGGAGATCATTAACAGCTACCTGCCGCCCCGTCTGGACTGGACCTTGTTCTGCGAGCTGTCCCCTCTGCAGCACCAGCTGTACAAGCACCTCCTCAGCCACCGCGTCTTCAGGGCATGTCTTCAGGGCTACAGTCAAACCAACATGCACCTGGCCTGCATCACTGCACTGAAGAAGCTCTGTAACCATCCTGGTTTGCTTCACATCAGTGTCAAGGTGATGTTGACAGAGAAACTTACATCTTTAAAGAGGACATCATGCAAAATCCACTTTTTTACCTGTTAATACATTTTGTTGTGGAGTTTCAAGGAATTTAGACCAAAGCATTGCAGTTTCACTTTAACCCTAACCCTAACCCAACTGAATGATTTAAATGTGAAAATGAAGCATCATATGTTTCCTTGAATAGGCTTGGTTGGTATGACGGGATTGTGGTATACCTTGGTACCACAACGTGTATTTAAAAATTATGACTGTAAACTGATCAGCGAGGGGTGATGCGTCAAATTTCTACAAGGCTGCTATGAAAACTGAGACATCATCATTCTAGACTCTTTCAAAATACACCACATAACGTTACTGACGTGTTCTGACCACATTGGACCATTCAGAAAACAAATTGTCACACCTCTTAACCATCATGCAAGGTAGTGACAGAAACGTAACTCACCGACTCCTGAAAAGGTGGGCCGGTGTAGCGCTGACAAACAGCTTCGGGGACCACCTAGCCATGGGTTTCTTAAGTCGAACCACCAGAGGTGGACTTCATTCGGATTTAAACTTTAGGTCTTTTTTTTACTCGAGACCCGCGAGCTCCTTGCTGCAGAGGAGGAAATAACTGCAAATGTAATCGCCATAAAGACTGGCTAAAAGGATGCAGCAGCGCAGATACAAGCGTGGTACGAGTCAGATTATTTTGAAACTTAAAACCCTAAAAAGACGTACTTGGATTCTGCAACTCCTGCTTTTCTCATCAGAAGAGAAGAGGAGTTTTTTTTCCCCACGCCTCAATCTGGAATGTCAACTGAATGTCAAGCTACATTTCTTGTTGAGTATTAATTACTCAACACACCACAGACCATCTATGACTTCTTTAGATTTATTGTTTTTTGTGTACAGTGCCCTGAAACAACAGTTATTGTGATTTGGTGCTTTGTAAATAAACTGAATTGAATTGAATAATATAGCAGTATGAAAAAGATCAATACTGCCCAACCCTACCCATAGCGAGTAGCTGTATAATGCAGTCTAGTGTTTCTGTGCATGTTTTTAGATTTGGCTGAATCTTGTTTACAGGAGAGAACAGACCGCGGATCTGTGGAGAGTTCTTTATACGAGGGCCTCACGGATCTCTTCCCAGAATCCTATTCTTCAGCAGAATTCAGCAGCGAGGACTCTGGAAAACTGATGGTTCTTTCAGACCTGCTGAGCGCCATCAGACACCTCAGCCCTTCAGACAGGTACTGTATGTGTTACTATCAGATATAAGTGTAGTTTTATCTGTTTTCTGAGGATCTCAGCTTGTGATCTGCACACCTGCAGGGTTGTCCTAGTGTCAAACTACACTCAGACGCTGGACCTGCTACAGGACCTGTGCGTACACATGGGCTACACCTTCTGTCGGTTAGACGGCCACACCCCCACCAGCCAGCGACAGCGTCTGGTCGACACTTTTAACAGCCCCTATTCTCAGAACTTTGTGTTCCTGCTGAGCTCCAAGGCGGGCGGGGTAGGACTTAATCTGATCGGCGCTTCCCACCTGGTGCTGTACGACATCGACTGGAACCCTGCCAACGACATTCAGGTGAGACTCTCTTACACTGTTAGGAAAAATGAAAACTATCTTTTAACCCATTTATCTTGTCAACACACTTTCATAAAAACAAGCATTTTAAGAATCTGAATCATTCAATCGTCTTTCTGCTGCATTCGTGTGTAAACACCTTCATATCCACCAGATGGTGCCCTGTCTGTGTTATTAATTAATTCTGCTGTGACTGTGTCCAGGCCATGGCTCGAGTCTGGAGAGATGGACAGAAAAAGACGGTGCACATTTACCGTCTTCTCACTGCAGGCAAGAGTACAAAATTAATAAGGGTGTCCCGATACCGGTTTTTCTAAAACGGAGTACGAGTATTTCAGTTTGGGTACTCACCACCACAGAGTACTTACTGAGTTACAACTCAAATACTACGCAATGTTTATAAAAACACATTTCTTTTACTTAGAACCTGGTATTAAATCAGATACATATCTGATGTTTGTCTGAACGCTCGGGTTTTATTTTATCTGACTTTTACTTCAGTGAGGTGGGGGTGAGTGGATCGATTGAATAATAACGATACCAACCTCAAGCCATGCAGTTTAAATCTTACTTTGAACTAAACATGCTGCACCAGTGCATCCGACCAGAGGCAGATTAAAATATAAACACTGAACTAAACAGGGGTCTCAGATTATTTTTTAATTGACTCTGATTGCAACAACTTCAGAATCGACATGCTAAAATGTAGCATCCATATTTACTCTTGTAAACAGCAAGCTGAAGGTAACGTCACGTCTTCTCCTGCGGATCACATCGATGACACACTGGAGTCTAATGGAGGTTGCATTTATAGTG